CGGGCTGCCTCAGGCTCCATGGCTGTGCCCAACACTGCCTGTGGGGGGCCCCAGTCTTTGGCTGCCGTGCATGGTACGGGCATACACGCCACCAACAGGTGAGGACAACGCTGGACAGCAGTCCTGCTGCATGCTCGGCAAATTTCAGCATGGTTCAGGCTCCCTGGCAGTGCCCAACACTTCCTGTTGGGGGCCCCAGTCTTTGGCTGCCGTGCATGGTACGGGCATACACGCCACCAACAGGTGAGGACAACGCTGGACAGCAGTCCTGCTGCATGCTCGGCAAATTTCAGCATGGTTATTTCCAATTGCAGGGATGTTTTTCAGTGGTGGAATTGACTAGTTGTAAAAGCCAGCTGTGACCACAGTTTATGAGAGGGATGTGATGCCCCGTCCCCCATTTACAGAGGAGAGCTCTGGTTTGTGGAATGGGCCCCAACTGAACATCTGAAACATCAAGCCCAACAACAAACATTTATTATGTGCAGAGGCAAAAGAAAATGACATCGCTGGCCCAGTGAGCTCAAAATCTAATGCCTCACGCCTCCTGCTGCCAGCATGTGAGCCTGCTGCTCTGCCTGCATACAGCCTCACTGAGTACCTGCAGTTCTATTTTAGGTACTGTTATGAGCTCAATCACCATGGCAGCTGAGTACCTCAAGTTCTTTAATCTACTCCTTCTCACAGCCCCCTTGTAGGGCTAAGCAGTGCTGTGATTTCCCACTTTATACAGGAGATGCGGAAGGACAGAAAACTGGAGGTCACACACAAAGTCTGTGGCAGAGCAGCAAATGAAACCTAGGTCTCCTGAGTCCCTTCACCCCAGTCCATCCTTCCTTAGTCGTAAAGTGGTGCTTTCAACATCTTTCCTCTGTGATTTCAATTGTTTGTATGAGGATGGTGAAATTTGATCCTTTGTTTCTCACAAACTAAGACTCTGAACTTGCAATGAAATGCACATCCTGGAGCCCCATTAAATCAGGACTTGATGGGGTGAGGGTGTCTTGTTGCAGGATCAAGGCTGTGGGCGCATGCTTGAATAGCCTTAAAAATATGGCATTCTTTAAGTCCCTTGATCCTGCAACTGTCTTGTTTCTAGGCAGTCTGCCTTAACTGGGACTCTGGAAACCCAGGGGCCCTGTGTGCACAGTAGATGTAGAAATGGAGCTGCAGTCCAGTAACAGTTATTAACTCTAGAGATTATGTACATACACCTATGTTGTACTGCCAAGGCAAAGATTTGGAGAGGTTTTGTGTTCTCTGTGTTTTGTGTGGGAAATGGGACCAGGTGTCTGTCTAAATGGCCGGGTCTCTGTGTTAACACAGACTCTGGGAACTGGATCCACAGGGCCAGCCTATAGCTTTCAGTTTGGAATTTATCAGCTGTTGCTCTGCATGCCCTCAGAGAGCCTGTCTTCACGTGTTAATTCATTCCTACATTCCAAAGCCAGAAAGAACCATTGTGATCAGCTAGTCGGGCCTCCTGCATAGTACAGGCCCTAGAAGTCCTTTGAATTCATTTATGTTGCCTGTGGTTTTTGTGCAGGGTGGGCTGTCTGTCAGTGCAGGGATCTAACTGTGTTACATGTGGATGCTGTCAGGAAGTTAGCAGGTGCTGTTCATGCCATTTAGAAGTCTAATGGCTGTGCCTTGCAACAGTGCAGATGCCAAATGTAAATTGCTTCTAAAACTATGACCTGTAGCCCTAAAGGTAGACTTGCTATTTATTGCACCAGACATTCTCCTTGACATAGTGGGTGCAGCATAACGGGAGGCAGACCCTCAATATATTAAATTGTATGCTGTGGTCTACCTGGCATCTACGTGAACTCACTCAGGACATGGGTTTACAGTGTGTTGCGTGCAATGCTCCTGGATCCAGCCAGAGGGCGTTCAGGGCAGTGTGACAGGCTAGCTTGGCACTGTAATTTAGGGGCTATTCTAGATTCAGGTATATCATCAGCTTCCGCCTGAAATCGCACCAGAGGGAGCTGTTTTAAAAGCTGGCTGGATATTGGTGACCTGCCTTAACTACATGGGACCGATAGTACCTGCTGATTAGAGTTGCTGCTTCTCCAGCGGGTGGAAAAGCCATGGCCAGCTGAGCAATGCTCGACAGGTCACATTACTTTTGTTTCCAAGGTAGTGGCTGAAGAGCTGGGCTGATGCAGGGCTAGTTTAATATTCAGCCTGGCAAAGAGGGGCTTGCTGGTAGGGATTGCACCAGCATGTATTCCAGGCCTGTCCTGTTCTCTGGGGCCTCACATCTGTTTAATATTATCATTGGTCATGTTTATTACAGTAGTGCCTACAGGCCACTTGAGAGTGGGCCTCTACTAGCTGAGGTGCTGGACATCGACAGAGAAGCAGATGGTTCCTGCCCCCAAGTGTTTACAGTCTAATTAGATGAGAGAGATGTGGGCAGGGGCGAGGGATGTGAATGGTTAACCGGTTCCCCGGGAGCAGCCCTAGCATCTAGCCCTATATGGCTGGAGCTGTGAGCCGGCAGAGCCAGCCTCAGTGTGGGGCTAGGAGTGGGAGCCCTGTGGGCTGGGGTGCTGGAGTGGTAGGATCCCGCATAGTTGGTTAACTGGTTAAACATTAGGGAACTACAGCTGGGTCCAGCATACTAGAGGGAAGCAACTGCTCTGCTTAAAGAGAGGCCCTTGGTTCACGGTGAGCCCTCTCTCCCAGGACAGACCTCACACCAAAGCCCACAGGCAGGTCCAAAGCCACTTGGGCACATGGACTTGTGGAGAGGGATTCTGAACCAGTAAGGCTCTGAAATGGGGAGAGAGGCCAACTGCGTCATGCTGAGCACTGCCTACAGGAGCTGGCATGTGAATCTGCAGTGGGCAGGGAAAGGAGAGGGTCTTGGCTGCTGCCTTTGCTGCTGTCTGAGTGGATGTCTTTTTTTCCCCTCAGAAAGGAAGAAGTTTTACCAGAACGTTAGCATCTCCCAAGGCGAAGGTGAGTGCTTCCTCCAGGAGTCTGGTAGGCCGTCCAGCAAGGCCCCTTGTGTGACAGCCAGGCAGAGAGAAGAGCGCTTAGTCTCTCAGGCTCTGCTTGGAACAAGGGCCATACCTGCCAGCGGATGCTGGACACGCCTGGAAACCAGATCGCACGAGCCAGCTTTATCCCAAATGGCTGGCAAAACGGCCTCCAGGAACGGTGCCCCTTAGACCTGCAGTGGGGAGACTCCTGGGCCAGGTGAATCCCTGGCATTGGCTGGGGATACATTTGCTCCCTTCAGCTTTGTCTCTGAATCTTCCCCCTGCCAGAGGGGTTGCATCTGGATCCTGTGTGCGCTTTCCCCTGTAATCCTACCAAGTCTCTAATCTGATCCCACAGGCGGCTTTGAAATAAATCTGGACAACAGGAAGCTGAAAACGCCCCAGGCCAAACTCTTCACTGTCCCCAGCGAGGCCCTGGCTATTGCAGTTGCTACAGAATGGGATTCCCAGCAGGACACCATCAAGTTCTACACCATGCATCTGGTGAGCGCTGTGGGCTTTGGTGGAAGGGGAAGTGCCACAGTGAACTCACAGGTGGGAAGGAATCTAACAAGTGATTTTGCTAAGGCCACTGTTATGGGCAGCCTCCTCTTGGAACATAGCGTGCTGGGAGCTGTAGCCACTGCAGCCACGTCTCTGAGCTAAAGCAGTACACTAGATGGGTGTATTAAAGGGCTGAGGCTAGTAATTGTTTTTACACTTTCTTGGCTTTTGCTTGGCCCACAGAGCTGGGGCAAAGTGCGACTCACCCGTTCGCAGCTATTGGGTCTAACTCGAGGGTTAACCACTGCTGCCTAACATTGGCCAAACTCTCATGTGAATGGGACTGGAAATGCTTTTCATCCAGATGCCTTTACCCGAAGGCCACCAGCGAGCTCCTGTCCTGTCACTGTCCACAGGGCCTGATCCAAAGCTGAAAAGATTCCCGTCAGCTTGGAGGCAGTTTTGCATCACTATCCCTTACTCGGTTACTACCATGATAAGGATTCTTCAAGTGTTGGCTGGGTGGGACCGTATAAAGTCAGAGCAGCTGCCTCTCCAAGACTCTAGCTGGTCTGATTACCTTGTGTCTTGTAGACCACGTTGTGCAACACAGCTCTGGACAATCCATCTCAGCGAAACAAAGAGCAGCTAATCAGAGCAGCAGTGAAGTTCTTGGAGACCGATACTGTCTGGTAGGTATCTGTCTGGGCTTGAAATTCACTGGGGGAATCTCTGGCATAGAAGCCAGGTCAGTCTCATTGCATTATTTTGGGTTATTACACTTCCAGCTGGGCAGGCAGGAAGGCTGATGGGAGGTTTGGAAGTGCATGAAGCTGATACCTGTATGGCCTAAATGCAGCCTTTGGGACACATGCATCTGCCCTTTTCTTTCTGTAGAGGGGCACCCCTGGCAGTGACCCTAGCATGTAGCGTGTTCCCTTGAGCCTAGCAGCCAACTTGGATCAGAGGACGGGCCTTTTCTGAAAGGGGGCCAGCACAGAGGCACTCCGTAGTGAGAGGGGAGCACAGCTTACTCGTGTGAACGTAGCGCTACCCCTCCACCATCACCAGCCCCTTAAATTCAGAAACCTCAGGGAGATTTCACCACTAGGAAGGGGGCCAACTGGGCCCTGGCATGATGGGCTCCAGTGATACTTTATCCTGGCCTGCGTTTATCTCCATGAGATGTTGCTCTTTGAAAGTATTTGGCAGAGCAGGAGCCTTGGATTTAGCTATAAGGAGCATGCAGTTTCCGTGCTGGACAGTACCTCTGGTTAGCCCTAGAATTCCTTTCTGTCGTGTTGTGTTTTTTCACTGAACACATCAGCCTCCCCATTGACTGCCAGCAGCTCTGATCAAGGGGTTTGAACTAGTCATGTCAGTGGTTAACTGGTGGCCCAGCTGGGCTGGAGCAGCCCCCCACCCAATGCAGGCACTCTAGCCAGGCCTGAGTAGCCCCTGCCCACAGTGGGTCTGACCCCCACTGCAGATGGGGGGGCACTCCAGCCCAGTCGGCCGTCTGCCTACCCTCCTGCATTACAGAGACAAACCTGTGGTGCTGAGTCTCCAAGCTCGGGTCAGTTGACTTGGGCTTGTGCTGCAAGGTTACAGATAACTGTGTTGATGCTTGGGCTGGAGTCTGGGCTCCAAGGCCCTCCCCCCTCGCCAGATTTAGTGGAAGTGTTCTTTAAAATCTGTAGTTGACGAGTTTGTGCTTCAGAGGCCAGTTCCCACTGGACAGCACTTCATCCCACAGCCTATTTGGGGCCTGGTCCAATGTGCGCTGAGGTCGACTGGTGGCCCGTTTGATAATGGTCAAGTCAGTGGCCTGCTCTGTGCCTCAGTTTCCCCATCTGTAAAACTAACTCAGCTTTGGTCAAAGTGCTTTGCGGCCTGTGGCTGCAATGGTCTCTTGCTGTGTGAAGCAAAGCGGTAGGCTGGCACTCCAGCTGGCTCCGACCAGCCCCTGCGGTTATTAGGGATGTGAACAGGTAACTGGTTACTTAGTAAGCATCCTCTCTTACGGGTGATGCTTATTACGTAGTTATTAGGGATGTGAACAGGTAACTGGTTACTTAGTAAGCATCCTCTCTTACGGGTGATGCTTATTACGTAGTAGTTAACCAATACCCAGGAATAACCCCGACTGCGGCCCCCTGTGAGCGGAGGGCTGCTCGAGCCCTGCCGGGCCCCCGTGAAGGGCTGCCGGTTCCCCAGCTGCAGGGAGGCCAGAAGCAGCCAGACTAGAGCAGCCCCGGCCTGCGGTGAGGCAGCCACTCCAGCCCAACTGCAGCAGGTGGCAGAGTCCACATCAGCCCTCCCCCCGCCGTGGTTGTCCCCCATTTAATCAGTTAACCAGGAGGGCAGGCACGGACCTGGAAGTGGTATCACAGCATCAGAGCCTGAACTGGGCAGGGCTGTGGAAGCAGCATCTCTCCTTAAAGGGCTTAAGAGCTGACTGGTGGTCTGCCCAGCAGAGGGCTCTGGATCTCAAGACAGGTCAGCAACGGAAGTTTTTCCTTTTTTTAGCCTGCAGCATCTGCTCACTTGAAGCTTATAGTTGCTTGGTACCTCTTCAAATACTGGGCTCCCCTTGCCATCCCTGATACAGGCTAACTGCCCAGCAGGTTTGCTCCTCATACTGTGTGAAGAAGGCCAATGATTTGTCAGTGAAGGTTGTTTTCTTGTAACGTCCTAGCTACAGGGTAGAGGAGCCAACTGCCCTGGTAGAACTGCAGAAGAATGAATGGGATCCCATGATCGAGTGGGCTGAGAAACGGTAAGAAGTCAAAGACTTTTCCCTTCCTGTTGCTCACTGCCTTCTCTGTGGTATTCTGAGAGCACGTATCACTGCATCGTCCGAGAACCAGTCGTGCTGGTGACAGTTTAGATCACGAGTTCTGGTACCAGCCTGCTGAGCCAGGGAAAGGAGGCACTGGGGGGGACTGAGGAGGCTTTGGAGGACAGAGACTGTTCCTAAGGGGTTTCAATTAGAGTGGGTGAATGTGGGTAGAAAACATTCCCACATAGACCCAGATGGGAAATAGCAGGTGTAACCTCCACTGACATCAGTGAGGGTTGTATCTGCTTATGGCAGGGCTAAATGTAGCCAGAGTCTTGCTTTATAATGATACCTAGGGCACGTCTCACGGGCTAATCGTTTATCTGGTACCATCTAATGAATGGCTCCTCTACTAGCATCATGGGGCCCAACATTCCAGCCAGGACCAAAGACACCTTCACCAGCCATTTGGCGTCTTACAACATGTGGGCACTGCAAGGTAATGAGGGCAATTTATCCGGTGTGTTTGTCCATCCCAAGCACACGAAGCACCACTAGCGTATGTGCCTTTTCCTCTCTCAGAGCAATAACCAGCGCAGTAGACATGTTTGGGGAAGGAAGGGAGCCTTTAAATCAGTGGTGGGCAACCTGCAGCCTGTGAGGTTCTGTGGGTGGCCCGTGAGATGTTTTGGTTACTGTTGCCTGTGTGCAGGGTTGCCAGATTCCACTGGTTTCTGTCTGTGTAGTTTTCTTCCCGCTCATATTACTCAAGTGACACGCACGTAAAGCAAGGGGCAAGTGAAGTGAGGTGCAAGCTGATTGCACACAACATTGGCTGTGGGAGCTATACTCTTCCTCTTCATCCAATCAAAGCACTGCTACAGTTCAGTCGGCACTCCCCGCAAATTCTTAGTGGGCAAGCACAATTTGCAAAACTACCCTATTCTGGGAGACTGTGTCAGTTACAACAATCTTGCGGCCCACTGAGATGAAGGAGGGCCACTCATGCAGCCCACTCACTAGCCTAGGTTGCCCATATCTGCTTTAAATCAACAGAGGGGAAACAACGGGGGATTATATTTAACAAACAAATACATCCATGTTAGACTTTTAGTTCTTGTTCAGTATAGCAGGAGCTATCTCTCCACTGTACAGTATCCTATCGTAATAGGCCCTGATTCAGTTTCTCAGTACTGCCATTTTTTTTCCCTCCAGCAAACTAAAACTTCCTGAGTTGAGATTTCAAATGTAAGAGCTGTAGTTATTTGCAGTTCAACTGTTCTACTCTTGTGTGACTGAGATCCAGCACATGGGAACCCTTCCACACTTGTATCCAGCAGCATGGCATCATCACGGTATAAGGGTGTTTCGGCCTGAGATTAGTTTTCACTTAGAGATGCAGCCACTTGCCCCACAGTACCAGTGGATCCTGATTAGCAAAAGACATTTCATGTGTGCGTTAACTGTGGGCTTGACTTCATAGGATGCATTGATCCATGGGGGGAGGGGGGGTTCTGCCGTTAGACCCTACTGAACATATGATGTCTGGGGCTGCATCTTCAGAAGGTGTGAGGAGGTTGATGTGATTTTACATAAATAATTGTGGTTTGTATTTGTATTCCTCCCCCCCCCCCCCCCCCCTACAAAAATTTGA